CCTCAATACGTCAACCAACCGCAGAGAGATGCCTTTGGGGGCCAGGCACTTCGCCTCTTGATAGTGTGGAACCCCAGGCTTGTAAAAAGGCCTACAGATTACGCAAAGCTCTGGGGAGAGAAATGACCTCGTAGCACCCTTGCTGAAGGGCCGAACCCTTTGTTCCACAGAAAGGATCCAAGAACAGACGAGGTTCAGAAGAAGCATGGTGAAATCTCCATTTCAGTCCTCGTACGTAACGGTCCGTTTATCTAAATTGTTTGCCACTAACCGTGTTACTTGCTCTAGAAGGGAGCTAACACCTCAAGGTCCGGGAACGGTTCCCTGAAGCAGCTGAATGGCAGCGTAGTGAACACGGTGTCCAACGACACCACTAACAGTTTGTCGTCACAGCTCACTACCTCAGCAATTACAGCTCACTATCACCATGGTTTTCCTAGAACAGCTTTAAAAGTATTATACCTTGTACACATATTAGTACCTTGTTTTATTAATATGTGACCAGATCATTTACTCTTTTTTTAATAAAAAAAAGCTATTACTATAATTCATAACAATTTTGCTCGATATTACTTCTCGAACTACCAGACACGTAATCCAAAACTATTACGAAACTGAAAGTAGTTTCTTAAAAATATAAAGCAATCTAAATAAACTCCTCGTTCTGAGCGATATTGTTCGTTCGTTTCGTAACGAGGCAGTAAAACAAGTATTGCGTTTGAAGTCCTTGAATCAATTTCTAATAGGGGAAATTTTAAACAAATTTAATGTTAATTGACTTTAGTTCAATAATTTTATATTAAATTTAATTAAAGTAAACTTTAAACCTTATATGGAAGTGCGTCATAAGCTTAGAAAACTAACATGAAACATAATTGACAATGTATACAATTATTTCACAATCATTCATAGAAATAATAATGAATACAGTTATAAAATTAGTAAAATTGTTTGTATGAGATTTTCTTGATTCATTTGCTGAAGCCCTAGTCTCTATAATTCTGTATATAAACCATTAAAATAATGTTTGTTTGTTAGAATATAGACACTTAAGTCTATAAAACATATCGGGACTATGGACCATTTCAGTCAAGCAATTAAATGACCATGATTTCGAACTGAATTTCCAAATCATCTACGAAACTAAGTATCGGCATATCATATAAGTAAGTTACATAAATATAAACACTATAAATTTAAATTCATTTAAGTGCAAACAGAAAAAGCAAGAAATGGATTCTGAAAACATTTTTTTATTAATTCTTTCAATTCTGTCTATGCATGTTTTCTTAAGTAAATGCAGATTTCTACACAAAACTTTGTCAGTTATCTTGTTAAAAAACAAAATAGATTTTTTAAGAAAACTGTATTTTGTTTCAAATTGGTAAAAGCAAACTTAATTCTTGATGATATTGCACTAAACTTTGCGAATACAAGAACTGTCGATATTAGCGGGCAAACTTTTGACAGTTATTTCATTAAAGTTTTCGCTTACACCCTTTCATTGTGAACCTTCACACCAGGTCGGATGTTTGGTGTTCACTATAAGACATAGCGATTATTAATTAGAGGTTCACTTTTAGAACTATCTAGGTCAAATTAGGAAAAAGATAGATGACGAGAACAGTTCTGATAAGATCGGGCGATTGTATCAGGCGGGTGTGTCAGCCACGATGACAGTTCATGGTGGGGCCTTGTATGAATTCAGATGCGATCAAATGTTAATTGAAATTCAAACCCAAATTAGTAAGATGTAGTGAGGTTATCATAATAAATGACGTATAGCTGGACTCTTTTACTGATATATCATTCGTTTTGCTCGAAAGTATGAATAGTAGAAAGATATTAGTAATAATAAAAATAACCGGACACATCTCACACATGGCCATCTGCGTTTACCCAAATCGACAGAAGGATGTTTCTAAATTATTAAAGCTTTGCAACTGGGATGAACCCGACTATACGCTTTTTTAGGTAAATGTGGTCAATATCAATAATATAAATGCTCGAACAGAATGTTCGGGAACTTCTGAATAAAGTTAAAGATAATGTCTCAAACGTTTCTCGTACCTGACCATTTCTTGAAAAAAATATTAATATAATATAATTAGATGAGATAATTAGGACTATATTAGAAAGAAATGTACATAAGATGTAAAGAGAATGGTGGGAAATAGACATTGCTTTATATGGATGGATTGGGACACGTAAGTCATACCTAACTCGAGTAGATCGAATGTGTGTTAGGTACGACTCAAATCAATCAATCAATCACAAATTTTTTGTTTGTGAATATGGGTTGTACAATAAGGTACTACAATATTTTTTATATTGTAGTACATTATTGTACAACCCATATTCAAATGTAATCTTATTGTAATGGAACAGCCACAATCTACTTGTAGGCATGCAAATATTATATGATATATTAATTTTAGATACATTAGCTATAATTATATACATAAAAGCACGACTATTTCCGTCAATTACATTTTCTTCTTTTAATACTACGCCCGCACCAGGAATATATCTTGTGTCGCCGGGGACTTTACAAACATTCATTCAAGCGGACACAAAGAACACCTAGACTCAGAACAACAATTTGTGGATCACACAAAGTATTGTTCCATGTAGGGTTCGAACCCACAACACTGGTGACCGCTTAAGCCAATACGCCATCCGTGCAGTCAATATCTTCACTATGTACCTACCACATACCAACTATGCCAATAATATAACTGTACTGATAAAACCATATTTTACCAATTACCAACAAACCCCCGCTATAAATAATTTGCAGTGTAATCAACAACCAATCTATACATGTCTCATTAATTAACTAAATAGCGGCACACGCATTCATCGTGCAATGTTAATTTATCGTTGGCCAGTTTGTGAAAGCCTCCCTAATTAACCAATGTGTTGGTCGCTACAACAATGACCATGAAAATAGGAAGTCTGAGATATTCGGCTGCAATTTTTGAGTTAAGAGATAACAACTAGTGCAGAAATTAACGAAATATTCATCAATTTCTGTACCTAAAATTCGAGAAGAAAAGCTCTCTCTATGCCTTAGAATATACCGTCAGCATTAGATACAAAAGAGCAGTTAGGATGTCTACAAAACAATATAGTCAATGCTAAATACTTAAAGTGCCGAAATGTCTCAAATAATTAGAATAACTTTTAGTTTTTCAAGTACATTAGAACACTTACATCGACGAATATTGGAATTAGAACATTTAAAATGTCATAAATATGTAATACCCAATACGTTGCATATTGATTTATTTGAAAGTAAGTTTATATCAATGTTAAAGTATAACAGTTAATCAATATTTCATCCTATCGTCTACTTGTAGACCATGTGTTCTTAAAATTCTATACATTTTATCACATAACAAAAAAAATATCCCCTCCAAATAAAAAAGATTATTCAAATGAAAGAGTTTGAGGTAACAAAGGAGAAAAAAATACATGATTATGTTATTGAAAGAGTTATCCTCTTACTCCTAAAGATTAAAGATCCTTCCATCATCAGCTCAGCAACATGAGATAACGACTACCAAACGCAAATACTTGTATAACTAGAGAAAAAAGGGCTGTAAAATTTAAGGGTTTCCCTCAATTTCTCTGGAATCCCATCGTCAAATCCTGGTTACTGGTAATGGGACCACCTCGCAAGTATACCCTTATATATTAATTTTAATATCAGTCCACAATTGAAGGTGATATCGCGTACGAAACATACAAAAAAAATACAGTCTAATTGAGAACCTCCTCTTTTGTGTTTATAAAGTCTATGCGCCACATTACATGTATTGTTGAGGACTGAAAGTATACCTAAAAAAATGGCTATTTTATATAGCGCATCACTCTTGCCCACATATTGTGCCTGATCAGAAGTAAATTAGCTCACCGATGAGTAATAGTCTTAACAACACGACGTTCAATTCCTTTACTGCCATGCTGGCAAAGTATAGTTTATTATCATTCAACTATCCGAATTACTACCATGAGTATTAACACACATTTATAATATTTTAATACATCCGGGTCATTCGTTGGTAACAAAAAAAAACCCTGTTTTAAATACTTAGCTTGTTATAATTCATTTTCAATTTAAAAATAAAACTAACACTAACACATAAGACAGGATGTCCTACACCACAAGCAGCTATCCCCACATAGCCCAGGGAGCTCGGAGATGATGCGCCGAGGAGTACTTTACGTGGGAATAGCTGCTTGCTTGCTTGTGCCATAAGCAGTGTTGCCGTTAAACAAAAATAAAAGGCGCTGGCTGACTTCTAAAATTCCTCTAGATTAGAAGAAAACCGTTCCCCTAAAGCAATTATTAGATGTATTAGATATTTTAGAATAATTTGATGTGTTAGAGTTAGCTCAAGTGAGGATTGAGTGTAGAATGATTTCAGTAATATTATTTGGTGGCCATTTTACTCATCATTCTAGAGCTCCCTATTAAGAGCACTTGGCACTTAGACGAGTTTACCGTTAATCTAAATCAGTTTTTTATCATCTCAAAGACGGAAAATCTATCACTTGGCTTTATTATTTAGCCACTATATATAACCACTTACTACTAACTTACTGCAAATATTTATTTAACTGGCAATCTTGTAAGTTACAAGTAAAAATAATACACAAAAACTATGTCCACATTCTTTATTAAAACACCGAGATTTAAACATAGGCTCTAGGGCCACAAAACACAACATCAAAACCTACGTATAATCTACACATTTATATCCTTTACATAACAATATCTCTGCTCTACAATCAGTCCAGTATTTCATTTTCAACGCATAAAATATTATATATTAAATATCTTAAGAATATAAAACGTAATCTCACTAACAGATTACAATAATCATCTTAACCGACAATGATGGCACTATTGCACTGTACATCAAAACAAGTTGTAAATTAATGGAATGGCTACTTAGATTTCCGAAAGTTCGACTTTTACAAACTATTTAAGCTCATGTCAAGTAAAAGATCAATCCTATAGTTGCATTATGTTTCTTTTTAGCTTTTGCGTGCTCTACAAATCCAGTTATTTTTTCTTTTCCAATACAAAAAAGTGGTTTTGTAAGCCTGGGGGGTAAATAATAATTTAAGTAGTGAGTTATGTAGAATTATATGTTTTTAAGGTCATTTTATTTAGATTCTCTAAAGTGTTTCACTTCAATTGAGTATAATTCATATTCCTTCATTTTAATTTAATTTCATTGGCTGTTTAGCGTTTATATCACCATTGTTCTTTAGAAATCCCCATTATATCTTTCAACAAATTCATCACATAATTTCTTTCTTTCATATTTAAAACTTATATGTTATTACTCTTTATTTATTTCATTAATTATAGTTTAATTGTAAAACTGTTATTGACGGCCACAGAATACATTTAGAAATTATTACGTAGTATGAAAATCGAGAATGCTTTTATTTAGTAATAGCTATTAAATATAATAATCTTGATGACATAAATATCAATATATAAATATATTTTTTTGATATTAAATTTACTTATTTAATAATTAAGTTATCAGTTCCTAGTATGACGTAATAACTTGTAATTATAAAAATATACTTATCTGAATGCACCATAAATTTCATAGTTGCATAATTAAAATTTAAGAATCAAAAACTTCTGTTTTATTTAAGGTACGCACGTCAGCGTACGAGCCGCAGTGTCATTCTAGCTTGAAAGGGTTTACTACTTGACTGCCCTTCAAAAGTAAATAAGATGGCTGAGAATAAAGCTTATAGATATCTTTTCAGCTCAAGCCTTTACATGTGAGACAATCGCAATATCCTCAGGTCAGGTCTTCACAGTGTTTGCTACCCAGATGTATAAATTATTAGTAAGATGGTGCTTACACCTATGCCTAAACTCACACTAGGCCCAGTGTGAGTTTAGGCATTACTATTGGCCCACATTAAACACTTCACCAATCGCAAAGCCGAACGCGGTCTCCATGACGATCGACTGGATGTGAAAACTCACACTAGGCTCCTCTGTGGTTATAAAGTATTAGTTAGGTGATGTTTTAAATCACTGACAACATTCAATTTGAGCTCTAATTGCAATACGATATCTTATAAAATAATGTAGATTGCCATATTCGACATATCATTATAAGCATTCTCATCACATTTTTGAATTTTCATGACTATATATATATATATAAGCATGTCCAATTTATAATTTGGGACCAACTGGGTTTAGTTTTCAAAACATGTAATGTAATGTTATATTTAAAAATGAAAAATTAATCCAAATATGAATTGAGAAGATTCCATCTGTTTGAGAATTTTAGGAATCCGAGGGTAGGGAGACGTGAAAGTAAGAGAGAAAGTTTATCATAACCCTCTATTGTATCGTTCATAGCACTATTAACGATTATTAAATTGTTGCCTAACGATAGAACCTTCCTCGAAATAAAAAGCTAGAAAGCTAAAATTTCTACTAAGGCTAGAAAGCTTTAGTAAAAAAATTTTTAGATTAAAAAGTTCGTATTAAAATTAGTATTATAATTGTTACATGGACGAAATCTGGAAAGCCTATCCAGATTTCAAATACGGCCGAGTTGGTGTTCTACAATAGCGATTTTTCATTCTATTTCCACAAAAACAAACTTATTTTTACTGCCAAAGATATAATATTAAAAACAGGACCGTTTTTACAGAATATTACAAAAATAATTATTAAGTCAAACGATTAGGGATTATTCCCATTTTGAAAGGACACAAAAATTAATTTCTTGACGTGATTGTTAACTTTTGATGATTTAAATTTAAAGATTTCATTAGTTAGACTTGTATATGTATATATAACACAAACTATAAACACAAAAATCCATAATACATAATAGCATTTATTTAAAGACAACCACAGGATTGAACAGAAAATTTAAAATATACTTTGTTGACACCACACAATCGTTAACTAACGTTTTAAAAAGCTCCGAGAATTTAGACACAGAAGGTACTTTGGATCGAATGGTACCTCGGCCTTCTTTACACTCCAAGCAATTAATTTCATATCCCTTTATATTTATATCCTTAGTTCCAATGTTATAAGGTACATTTTCGTTTGATAGTATTCCCCTGAAGGCTATTTTGTCGTCCGCGCGAAGTTGACGTGTGAAATTAGTGAAGTAGTGGTCGTAGAGAATGGAGATTTCAGCGTGACGTTTGAGAAGACCCCCACTCGCCTCCAACATTAGTTTTACTTCATATGTGTATCTGAGAAGGAAAAGATTCTATTCAAATAATGTTTCAGAACTATTTGTACATTGTAAATACATTTATAAAAATCGAATGCAAGTTTATTTCACATCAACTCACTCTCGACAGCGTTCGCGTTCGGCGTCACGATTGGTAAAGATTTCGGGCCAATCGCAGCGCCGAACGCGATCACCGTGACGATAGAGTAGATGTGAAATAAACTCGCACTTGGCCCTCTGATCGCCTGCTGAACATTTGATTAACACCGGTTATCTGTGAAGGTATCGGTTTTTCAATTTACCTAACATTGTTACACATATATAAACATTTAAGTATTATTAATTTTACATCAGCCTGTACATGAAACTTGCTTAAAAAGAGATACAAAGAATTCTTTCTACCTATTATAGTATATAGTCTAGTCAACAAGTTAAAAAACGTGTTAGTTCTTGCTCCCGGTCCTTTTTCTAGACGTCATTTCGAATCGAATGACGGGCCTGTTGGTCTTGTGGTTAGTAAACCTGACTGACCTGACTAAGCCGGAGATCGTGGGTTCGATTCCCACCCAGGACAAATATTGTGTGATGAGTACGATGATTTGTTCTATGTCTGGGTGTAATTTATCCATAACATGTATGTATTTAAAATAAATAATTATGTTTATCAATAGTCTGGTTACCATAGTACAGGCACTGCCTAGTTTGGGATCAGACGTCCGTATGTGTGATGTCTGAGGTTATTAATATTTTATATTACTTTTGACCTGACATAAAACGCGAAACTAGTAGGCAGGTTGTTTTTGTTGCTAATACTAATTCAGCCAGATAAACGGTAAAATGACAACTGTGTTAGTAAAAAGATATACTCACTCATTCAAATTATTTAAATGGCAACTCTTTCCACTTTGTCTTGCAACACTTCTAATAAACTCGCACTCCTTAACGTCTTGTAAACTACCGTCATTTTCACATAGCGTCTTATACTCTTCGCCATAATAACACCTAAAGTATTCCTGTAGAAATACGGGCAAGTACGACTCGAAGTCCCGCCATCTGTTCCTCACACTCTTCAAACGAACATCAGTGATATAACCCTCCCAATTCACGTTGGCACCGTCGAGAATGGAGCATTTTATTTGCGTCGCTGCCGTGTTATAAGCCGACCAAGATGGAGAGTTGCATTGGTTGTAGTAATCGTCCCAGTTTATGTGATAGCTGTTTTCTTCGTAGTCGGTTAAGAATTCGTTTTTCAAAAGGTTCTTTATACTGGATTTTTCTTCTCCAATGAGTTCGATTAATCCAGCAGGAAGGCCATCATCTTGAAGGTTCGTTACGAATTGGTTGCCGAAATATAGAATTGTTATTATGCCGACTGTGAGCTATAAAAACAATTAATTTATGTTATAAGAGTAACTTTAAAGCACTTGGATATTGAATTTTGGAGAATGTAGGAAATAGGAGTTAGATTTAACACTATAATAATGTTATTAAGAATACCCAGTACGATTATATTCAGTGAGTTCTAGATTTAGCTAACCTTATCAACGTCAGGATATTAGTGTCTGTAAAGCTAATTTTTTACATAATGGTGCTGATTCTGTTGATCGAAATTAGCACCATTGTGAGTAAAGGAATGATTATTCACACAATGATTGCCAATATACTGACGCTGTTAGACTATACTAAATCTAAGCCAATTACTTGTTAAGGCAAAACAGTTTTACTGAAAGACTCAGATTAACATTTATTTCTATTTTATGCTTCCTATTATTTCTAACTGCTTATCTCAAAGACATCTGCTGACCCTATTCACTACTAGAATACAAAAGAACACTTCTAGTGTTCTTTTGTATGCATGTCAAAGCAATATCAATTGCACAGATGTATAAGAACTACTTACCTGAAACGGAGTAACAAACTTCTTTGTAGTGTCTGATTTCGCCAACAAGCATGTCACTGCCAAACTCACGCCGAACCCTAGCACCACAGACACGGTATACAACATCCTGGACATCGTAATATATTGAAGAAACGCAAATATAGGGAGAGTTACAGTCACGACGCCTATTAAAGGCAAAAATAGAAACGAACAAACGAGAGCCAATGTTCCTCTAATCAATCCGTAAGTCGTACATCCATGAGAACATGTTATAAACATCTGCAACCAACTCAAGGTCACGCAGTGCGGAAGAGCACATTTAAAGAAACCTTGCCAATTACTTCTTCGAGCCATCACAATTATAATAACAGGAATAATTAGAGAGAAAAACACTCGGGCGTTCAAACAAAATTCGATACTACTCCCTAAGATATAAGACGGATAATTCGACACGTGCAAGTCGAGAAAACGCCAGCCTTGGTGCACGACAGTATCTTTCTCGTAAGGATACTTCGCTAAAACGTTTATACCGAACGATATGAGAGCCAGAACATCTGGGTATAGGCTGCTATTCATTGCGAACGAAAATAACGTTAAAAACATCAAGAAGAATGAAAGGACACAGAATTCTGAAAATGGAACCCATTGAGTAGCTATAAATGGGTATAAGAATAAATTTATAAAGAGCGCGAGGAAAAACTGGACAAACGGGCCAAGATTATTTCTTACAAATAAGTTTTCGGACTCGTCCGGTTGTAGGTTGCCGTCGCTGTATCTAAGAAATAAACCAGACCATTTTCTAAAGTCTATAAATTGTTTCTTCGCGTGGAGCATTTTAAAGGTACATATAACCATGGCCACGAAACTGACATAGTATATAACTAGGGGGACTAAATGGTACAGACTGTCAACGCTAACGGACAAATAAGCTATGAGTAACATTGAAAGTTCCACGTTTGATAACCTAAAGGAAAATGTACCAAAATAATATAACAATTTCAGATACAGGACTTGTATGAAGACTATGGGATGTAAGAATGCTTGATGTAGCAACGGTATGTGGTCTAAGGCCTTAACATTGGGGTCGGTGAGAGTGAGTTCATAGCTAACTAATGGCAATTCGCCTTGGCAATAGTCGACTGCGGCTGAAACTAAATTGTCGACGGTCAGGCTTCGTATTTCTTCGCTTTGGCCGCATCTTTCTGAGCATTCTGTAAAAATTAAACTAACTATTATTACGCATCACTTGCCAAAGAAGCACATACTGGATATAAGTCATTGAACTAATTGAATCTCCTGGAATTGTTTTTTTACTGGGAACTGGGTACGATCTCGTGTCTTACATGCATTTTGTTAGGACAGGAGAGAGAGGGGGGAGAGGGGTGCCGCTAAGGAGACAGGCATTTACTGACATCATGCTGTTGTGTTTTTTTTTTGTTTGGGCCATTCATTCTACTATTAAATAATTTTAACAATACTTGATGAGAATGTATATAGTAATGAATTGGGTGTATAATAGTTAATTGATTGTGCCTAATATTAAATAATATTCCAATGAATTGTATAATAATTAATTAATTATGCTAAATAGTAAATAACATTAATGATATCCTTTTGTCATAGCCATATATAATATGTATAATTCTATGTAATTTATATTAATTTTAAGGAGAGGCCTATGTCCAGCAGTGGACTATTAAAGGCTGTTGGTGATGATTGATGATGACGTATCACGAATATACACACATTAAAAGAAAGAAATAATGAAGAGATCACAGATAAACTTTACACAACTAACAGTTATTTCATTTCCAACATCTTAATCAAAAGATAAATAATGTTAAAAGAAAATTACCATCTTCAGGCGTATCTGCAGTTCGTATGGTGCCATTGCTGTGCACTTGATCACCCCCCTGTAGTCGCGAAGGCTCCAGAGCCTGTCCATCATCTAGAGCGGGCGCTTCCTCTGTATATAGATAGATACTTTTGAATGCACATTAAAAAAATATTTGTTCTATCTAAAAATATGGTAAGAAAGAGTACAACGGGCTGTCTTATCGCAGCTTGCGATCTCTTACAGACAACCAGGAAGGAATATACTGTACAGTAGTACTTTGGTTAATCATGGTGCCACAATTACAATAATATTAAGCAAAAATAAACATTTTATCATAATATCAAAATAATAGACACGCATATAAAGGGTTACTGGTTAAGTGGACCTACCTAGATACTAAGGGATTGTAGTGCAATCATTTCTGACAGATTTTACTATGAAATACCGTATGCCAAACCGAACCATTTTCAAGATATTGGACTTAGTTTTTTTTAAATTGCCGAAAATTTGCCTAATACATGTATTTTTGAACTTATATCCTTTATTCTTTTCTTTTTAAACAGTTTTTCATTGTTTTATAATTGCCAATACCTAAATTGTAAATAACTTAATAAATTGGGTAGAAGAAGTACATGGTTTATAATAGCAAAAAAAACTAAAAAAAAAACTAAAGAATTTAAAAAAAACTTGACAGTTAAGTTGTAGATTTGTTGAAAAACATGTAGGTATTGTAGATATGTTGCTTGGCATAATGCTGCAGCCTAAGTGGTGCAGCATTATGCTAAGCAACATATCTTTGTAATGAACACTGCAACGCAATTGTATAGCAAATATCTTATGTACTTATATACTAAGACGAGCCAAGCGAATCGCAAGGGCACTACCTACCTTTTCTCAAAGTACCTCGTCGTTTTTTTTAACTTGAGTTTGGATTATACAAAATAAACAAAGTTTTCGGGATATGATGTCAATAGTGGACTTATTAAACGTATTATAAAGTTACAATTACGTAGCGTTTATACTTTAGATTTTATTGATACCTAAAAACCCCGATTTTGTCACTGACTCACTAATGATAATCAAAATTCTTAAAAACATTTTTAACCGACTTCAAAAAGGAGGACTTTATCATTCGGATGTTTATATTTTTTTCTTATGTGTTCGTCCGTCATTGAACGAAATGGTCCCATTTAAATTTCATATAGATCTGATGATTAGTTTCGGTGACAGACAACGGAAAAAAATGACAGCAAATGAACTGCTAAATATCAAATATTTAGCAGCAGTAGGATAAAAAAATACCTGCAGAGTCAGCATCGTCGGTTTCCTTCCGAAGCGTGGTACTGCATATCTCACGGATGCGCCGCTCCAGTTGTGCAGTAGTTATGTATTGTTCACCGTTGGAAAGACTACACAATAGAAACGTTATTTGAACAAGTTGGCCTGACACTAACTTACTTTTGTTTTGTTTTTAAAAAGACAACTCCCGTACTAGGAATATATCCTGTGTCATGAGGACTTTAGAAACATACTTGAAACGGACACAAAGAACACCCAGACTGAGAACAACAATTTATGGATCACACAAAGTGTTATCCCATGTGGGGACAGAATCTACAACACTCAGCGCAGTAGGAAGTGGCGAGCTCACACTTAAACCACTACGCCATCCGTGCAGTTGCCTACTTTAGTCCGGCAGTCCTGTCCCATTACAATCACTCAAAACACTTCTTGTTCCGCTTCTAGATGGAACTTTAATTTTAGTGGTTAACTACAGTCTCCTTCCTAAAAGGTGGGCAACGCCTTTGTGACTCCTGAGTTGCAGACGTTCATGGGCGGCGATGGTCACTTTCCATCAGGTGAACCGTCTGCTCGTCTGCCCCCTCTTAACATATATATATAAAAAAAGTCTCGGGTAAGGAACGTCACTAATAAAAGAATAACAAAACTTCGACCTGGCTACTTCGCACACTATATTGGAATAGCTTGTAAGCATACAGATTAACAATATTCTTTTAGTAGTTATTAGGTCAAACGCTCGAATATCCGCTCGAACAGTTTGAGAATGTTCAAAACACATCAAATCGCTCGAAAAGTTGCTTAAAGTTTTAGTAACTTATTCAAAGCGTCGAATTCGATGCCTAATTTAAACTGTCCTAGATATCGAAAACACAAGTATGGAGGTAACTTCACACATCAGTTTATATGCTTCTTTACAGAAAAGGGCCAGTTTTATTCCTGCCCCTTTGTAAACAGCATGGTTATACGTAAAGTTTTAATCTTACCTGGCAAATAGATCACGGGCAGCTTTTCTAGCGACTGTCTCCTGGCGGCTAGCAGCTAAACACGACTTAGCGCGAATTATTGCTGCGCTGTCCTCGTCGATTACGCCGCTGCGAATACACCTGTTGTACAAAAAAGACAAATAAACAGAAACGAAATCGATTGTACTCTTGAACGCGTCAATTTCTTGATCATATCAATAATTAATGTTATTATTTTCAAGATATGGTGGGCAAGTATGAGTTTTGAGTTAGCCAAACTACAATATTTCACGCGAATAATCTAATTAATCGCCCCACTCTTCTCTCGTGCTTTTATACTATCTTTGTCTCATACTCTTTCCTAAGATACAGATAGGTTTACTACCTAGTTTAGGAAATAGGGTCCTATGACCTATTGTATATTTGTTGTACTGGTTTTCCTTGTAAAATTTAAGTATATAAGACAACTCTGTATGCCATGTACAAACTACTTTTTTTAATATACACATATTTATACAAATTTAGATTTTACATTTAGATACTTTTTTGTAGTTGCATACATATTTATCTTCTGTAAATCTCCCAGATTTTTCATATCAATATCTCTCTAAACAGGGCCTATTCAAGAACTTTCTTGTCAGGGGACGAAAGTAAGCCATAGTAAAAAGAAAGTAGCCAATTCAAAGAAACCACAAAGAACAAAAACATCTTACACAGAACGACGCAATTCATCCTGCACTTCATCCCATTTTATCTTCCAAATTGTGAAATCATTCAGATTTACGTTCATTTATTACACAAAGAAACTAATACTGCTGCATATGCAGTCGCAAAAAACCCTTCACACTCGCTGATTCCCTGCATACTGCAAGATGTACCAAGTTGTGTAAATTAATGGAATGTCAGTTACAATGGTTGATTACCTCATATCATTATCAGAAATGTGTTGCTATTTCAGTCCTCGGAATAATGTACCGCTAAAACTGCTATTGTTTCATGCGAAAAAAAAATCTATAACACACGCCATTGTCGCGATGACGGTTGTGAGATGACATTATTTTTTCTTTTCAACGCACATTGATTCTACGTTTTTAATGTCAAGGTTGTATATGTTATTCTCTTTGATACATTCTAAACATATTTTATTTATCTTTATATTTTATTTATATTATATTATTTTATATTGTTCAAGACAGTTTGCTCCGTGCAGTCAGTACAATAAAGTAGATAAGACAATATTCTATCAATCCTCAATTTATTTAAAATTTTGAAGCTCTCTGAGTTCAAAACTTATTAGGGACACAAGAATACTTCAGTTGATCCATTGATTATTTAAGAATCCAATGGTTTATAAACCTAAGAATGTCTTATCAGTTTTTTCAGTTTTTAAATTGAACACTTATGTCATCAGAATGATTCATGTTTTAAAAAACTCCTGTGTACTCACGAGCGATGATTAAGTACCCAAAGATAACTTTAAATAACTTATTTACCTTCTCAACATTCTTCTTGCTTCAGGGTGAGCCTTCTCTGTAGCACAAATCAACCACTCCAACGCTTGTTTAAAATTCGAGATTTTGTCAGCTTCTAGCTCTGCAAATATACACAATTTACGTTCAGTTCTCTCTATTTTTTATTTTAATATGAATATGTAAGTATAGATATGACGATTTTTCGAAAACATCGATTATTTTTTTCCGAGTCTGAACTTACACAAAACTGCCAATATTTCATGGTGTATTTTGTTTGATAAATAAGCTGACCTAAGTACTGTACTTAAGAGTAAATAAAACTGAGTAATCTTGTTTTTCTCTTCCAGTGAATTCTCGAATCACATGACGAACATATGGACACTGGCCTTTGCGAGCTACTATCGTCTCAATCTCGCTTATATAGCTACTATAGCCCATTGATTGTTAGCGATTACATTCCGAATGAGAATCAGGCGCCCGCCAACAAAAGAAAAGAGTCAAAACAATCTGCAATTTGCAAAAAAAAACTATTTTATTTAGATAGGAAGATGATGACGTTATTTAGTTAAGATGGCTGGTAAGTGGGCCCAGGTGGCTAGTAAGAGAGCACCACATCACACGTCCATACGTCTATAACATATAATATAATAAAATAAGAAAAAAAATTAATATGTAGGTTCATGTATGTATGTAACTAGGTAAGTATTTATGTATGTTTATGTATTTGGTACGTATGTTTGTTTGCATATTTATCGCATTGTTTCTGTCTAACTTTTCAATAATTTTCTTTTACTTTACCTATCCATTGTCTAGTGCACCTAGTCACACATTTCAGCACCACCCTAAGGTAGACTGGGAGAAAATGGCTGTGGCATTAAGTCCGCCATTGTACAATTCATACGTGTGCATAAAGAATAAAAAAAAAAAGTATCGACAAGAAAGTAAGCATAATAATTATTGTTTTAATATTTTTGCTGTAAATTTCGTTAGTATACTTTCGCAAGCCTATTATGAAATGTTATACTATTACCGCTATTTTGCGCACTAGTGAAAAATTTATTGAAGAAGTACTTTCGATTCGTTTTCATAAAGGGTTTTGGAAGCCTGAGACTCCGCTGGAGCCATAAAATTTTGTTAAGTAATACTCCGACAGGATTTTGTATTAAGTAGGTGTATACATTTCTTTATATCTGATATACATGATAGACCCAAAATAGTCTGTATGGTAAATATGAAAAAAATATATTAGTCATCGTTTCTTTTTATAAATAACACCTGTGTTTACAATTGAACTGAAAATTTAGTATTTTCACGAAACTTATGTTGGTGACTGGATAGTCACCGACATACTTAAATTGGCTCAATGTTTCTAGATACTCGAAATGTACTTGTTATCGTCCAAAATATGCATAAAAGATAAAACCGAGCATGGTGTAATCAAAACCTAAGGTTTAAAGTACTTCAATATGTTGCGAGTGTAAGAGAGAGGAGGTTTGGGCTACCTTAACCTCACTTTAACTCACTTACGAGTGACAACAACGAAAAAAGTGGGCAGGATAGTCCATCAGCAACTTGCTCTTAAGTATAACCTTGTGACTGTAGAGTTACCGTACTACAAATATGTGCCCTACCCAGTTCTTGAAAATGGTCGTGCAACGTTGTACTGGGATCGCCCTATTATCACTGACAGGACTATTGTTGCCAATAAACCTGATATAGTGGTAATAGACTGATTAGCGCACCGAGCAATGATTGTTGACATTACCATTTCACATGACGACAATCTTTTGAAAGCTGAAAAAGATATACAAGTATTTGGCCCGTGAGATTGTCGACATGTTCTTTTCGATACGGCACGTATTGTGAGGAGGTTTCTGTCTCTGGAGTCCTATTTTTTATATTTTTAAATGTATTTTTTTGTACATAAATATATTTAAAAATGTAATTTATATGTATATTTAGGGATAACGAGCTAATAATAAAAGTAGAGAGATAAAGAGAGATAATAATAAAAGCTTTAACAACCCAACTCTCGAGAATGGTCGGGCCTCATTGTATTGGGATTGATCTATTATCACAGACAGGACTATTGTTGCCAATAAGCCTGATATTGTAGTGATAGATCGATTAGCGCGCCGAGCAATGATTGTTGATATTGCTGTTAATCATGACGAGAATCTCGTGAAAGTTGAAAAAGAAAAAAGTAAAATATTTGGATTTATCTCACGAGGTTTGTCGATATGTGGAATGTCGAGTCGGTGATCATTGTTCCAAAAGTCGTATCTACTCACGGATTGATAGCCAAGAGCCTCGACCAACACCTTAAGAGGCTCACGTTAGACGGTTGGATCAAAGGTCTGATACAGAAGGCAGTCCTCCTTGACACGGCCCATATAGTGAGGAGGTTCCTATCTTTGGAGTCCTAACCACCGGTGTCTTGGTCTCTGTAGCCGATGTCGGTGGTCTACGTTTTTTTTTTTATTAAGTGTGTGGGAATATAATTAATATGTATATAAAATAAATAAAGATGATAATAATAAATATTGTAAAGCTAAAAAGAAATTGTATATTGACAATAGTTCCTGTTGAATACTTTTTAAGCCTCTTATATCCCGAAAATTATACTGTTTACATACACATACAGTAATGTATTTAACAAACACTCACATCATGTGTACTTTTTGTCGTGGGCATTTATTCATGTGTGGTGTCTAAGAATAAGGAGTATAACCACCCCTAGTCATGCCGTGGGTGTCGTAAAAGCCGACTAATGGAGTAAACTACGCAGGACAACAGCACTGCAAAGGGAAGGAAACCTTGACACAAACTCTATACCAATGTGTCAGGCCAGGGTGGTATAGTAGGCTATAACCTGCATTCTAAGGAGAGGGCTATGTCTATGTCTATGCTAGACTATTAAAGGATGTTGATGTCATAATGTGATATATTCATGTAAAGAAATTTGTGAAATGACTAAATTATTGCATACCACATTTTTCTTCTAATAGTTGTTTCGCAAGGACTACTTGTGACTCTGCGCAGCCATCCTCCGCAAGCTGATTACGCAGTCGTCTCAGGGATCCTTGTGGTCCATCTGAAGCAAGAACAACCTTAGAAAGTATACTAAAGTATAATGCTTACACAAATAAAATCTGTTAAATAAAATATTTCTAGTTGAGTTTGCTCATATTTAAAACTCATATTAATGTCTTAAATAAATAATAATACGAGTAATAACCTCAGACATCTCACACTCGGCCGTCTGATCTCAAACCAGGCAGAGCCTGTAGCATGGTAAGCGGACTACTGATAAACATACCTTTATATTTTTAAACTAGCTGAGACCCGCGGTGTTACCCGCGTTTGTTGTTATAACCGCGGGCAATGCCGCGGGGCGAAGCTAGTCTAAAAAAAGAAGCCTAAGTTACTCCTTATGTCATCAGCTATCTGCCAGTGAAAGTCCCGTCGAAATCGGCCCAGCCGTTCCAGAGATTACCCGGAGCAAACAGACAGACAGACAGACAGACAAAAATTGTAAAAAATGTTATTTTGGCATATGTACCGTGTAAACATACATAAGCATTTAGTAAAAAGCGGTTTTTTTAATATTACAAACAGACACTCCAATTTTATTTATTTGTATTACACTTAATACAAAATACACATTACATAATACAAAATGAAGTCGATTATTTTTCTTGTACGCTTAGATCTTTCTAATAACGCAACGAATTTCAATGCAGTTTTCACCAATAGATAGAGTGATGCAAGAGACAGGTTTATATGCATAAAATAAGTATATTCTAGAGAGGAAATCGTAGAATTTCAAATATTTGTAATGTGAAGTAGTAAAAAACACAGCAGCACAGAATTGTATACCTCAAAAAGTTCAATTTTTATTTTTTACATTTTACAAAAAGCAATGGGTAATCTACGAAGCTATTTTTAACAATACAGTAGTATTCCTTATCCAAATAAATACGTCAGATACATTGTGCATTTGATGTAAATCAAAATTGCTGTTTACAGCATAACATTAAAGTTGGATCTTTAATAATATTTTCAGACATTGCTGCACAGTGCCATCTAGCTTCAAACTAAGCAAAGCTTGTAGTATAAAAGATAGAGTGACTGATAGAATATTTATTGTATACCTTTCTTTTGTAAATACATACATAATAAGTAAACATAGAAAAATCCCTAACTCCGAAAAAAATATTTGCAGATCATACAAATATTTGGTCTGACCCGGGAATGAAACCCGAGACCTCAGTACAGGAGTTGCATATGCTACCACTGTGACACAGAGTCAGTCATTAGTCATTAAATAGTTGATAAAAAATAGATTATACCATCTTTGAACCAGGTTGAATTTTGTGTCAAAATTTGAGCTCAACGTAGGACTTCCTAAGATTTTAAAGTGTACACAAACCAACTTGATATCTTTATATATATAATTCTTCTGTGAGTGTGTATGTCACTGAACTTCTCTCAAACGACTGGACCGATTTTGATGAAATTTTTTGTGTGTGTTCAAGGGGATCTGGGAATGGTTTAGATTCACAAGTTTGAATGGTAAGGGTGACCCATCCCTAATTTTTTTGTTGTTGCAATACAACGTTTGCCGGATCAGCTAGTTTTATATATAACTAGCTGTAAAATAGATAAAAACCATGTGTGAAGAGTGTTGTCCACATTGTCAAAATTTGAGCTCAATTAGTGCAACACTTTTTCAGTTTTTGAAGTGTACACTAACTGTTGTATATGTATATGCATGTGGCTGCGCTCACCACATTCTGTCCTAACAATAAATCAGTGTGCATCTAGCAAGCATTTGTTGTACTCACTCCCTCGCTGTCAAACATAACACTAACCAAATTAACATTTTTATAAATATAGATTAGTTATGATTGACTAGTACATTGTCTACTGCACCAGTTATATGTTTAAGAATCTATATGTCTAAGATCATGTACTTTCAAAAATAATATCAAGTATGTAATATTTTTAAATTTGGAATCTCATGAAAATTAAGCAGTAACAAAATTCATGTGACTTGATAGAAAACACTGATTGGTACCTGCTAAACTAACGAATATAAACAATTGATGTCTAAAAATAAAATTAAGTTCTTCTACTTGCGACTACAATCAAAAACCTATAGATCTGCTAATTACATAGATTTATAGAGTAAATCAAAGAATAAAATTCTAAATTGACAGGATCATAATAAGGTTTCATCATAATAAGGATCATAATAATCATAATACTTGTTCAAGGTCAAAAAATAAAGTTAAGAATTACTTAAATATTACAAAAGCAAATTTAGTTAAGTATATTTAGTTATATCGTAAATTTTAGCACAATTAATTATTAGATTACGTCCTTACCATGTAAATTCCAACGTTTTCGACCGACTGGCATAACTTTTATAATATTCTAAAATAGATGTCAGTTCATTAAATTAACTTTTACTGAGAACCAACTGTTATGGAAATAAAAAGAAGAATATTAAATATTTTGTTTTGGCTAATAAAATACACTATTTGCGAATTTGATAGAAATTTACAAATATGTCAATGTCAATTTAATAATGACAACTTGCATTTGCCAATGTATTAATTTCTGCACATCGAAACGTTATACAACTCTATATTTAACTCGTGAAAACTATAGAAAATAATCGAATAAATTATATATATTAAAAGAAAATCTAATTTTACAGTCTTCTACCTCCGCGTTAAAAATAATATATTACTACCACCACGATGAATTAACGTGAATAAAGAAAGTAGTTGACTGTTGAGATCGCACCCACGTTAAATCCACCCACGACTAAAATAGCACACCACAGTTCTCCTAAAATAGAATCCTTGCATACAAAGGATTTCCTTAGCGTGATTTTATACATTTCAGAACAGTTTAGAAAAGTTTTTCAAAATTTTTAACTACGAACAAACAAGAGCTTGCTTGTTGAACTACTTCTTGTCCTATTTTGTCATGCTAACTTAGGAATAACGAAACGTAACATAAAGCATAAACCATAAAATGTCAGGACAAAAACTGTAACCGTTTGACGTTTCATACTTATCAAGCCGTAACAACTTTATATTGGCGTAACGCACACAAATTATAATAAACTTTTCCGTCAAACCATTGAATTAATTTAAATTAAAAAAAAAAGAATTTAACGAAGTAAAAAAAGCTATCTATTGCTTCAGCAATAGATAGCTTTTTTTACTTCAAATCAGTGTGTAAAGCACTCTTTTCCCTCGACATTCATAAGTCATGTGGACCCGATGGAACTTTGCCTACTTGAACTTGAACTACTTGCCTATAGCCATAACTCCTTTGTTCTCAAAGATTATAGAATTCATAATCAACTGCCAGCTCCTCCGGTACTTAGAAAATCACCAGCTACTAAATGATCGACAATATGGTTTTCGCCGGGGTCGTTCAGCTGGTGATCTTCTCGTCTTTCTAACACACCGGTGGGCACAAGCGATCGAGACCAAGTTGGGTTGGACATAGCGAAGGCCTTCGATCGGGTCTGGCATAAGGCGCTTCTCTCTTCTTATGGGCTTCCCGAGAAATGGTGTAATTGGGTCACCAGTTTCGTTGCGCACAGAAGCATTAAGGTCGTTGTCGACGGTGCATGCTCCGACCTGAAATCCGTAAAGGCTTCCGTGTTGCATCCAAATTATGTAATAAAAGCTCCGTGGGAGCTGCAGTATACTATCAGGATTCTAGAATTGTCTTAAAATTTAGATGTACGATAGAATCCTCGGCATTTGCGAGCGAGTGTGTTGTTGTGTGTTATATATTTTGTTGTTTGGCTATAGATTTAAGTATTGTATATTGTCGTTGGCGTTGACGAATTGGAAGCCATTTCTGTTAGGAACGTAAAGCAGACACATGGTCATACTTGCGAAGATTAAAAGCAATACATATTCATATAACACACATCACCATAATCGATTAAAGGAGTAATAAGGGACTGCATAAGCGTAGCCTAAGTTTCAGTGGCCAGAAAATTCTTAGAACGATATAAGGCGCGAAGACATGTAGTGACTCTATTTTATAATATGTAGATTAGAAGTAGGTATAAGAAACTTCGAGTTACTCACTTTGAAAATGACGAACTACTCATATTTTACTGAATTTATTATATTTTGATGAATTTTCAAAAATCCCTTCTTAGTGTACACCTACGTCACCTAAAGATAATTTGTGCAAAATTTTATGCTTTTACACCCAGCGGTTTAATTTCAGCTGTGCGTTAATCGAATCGTTAAAATACGATTACGCTATAATATTTGACAATTTCGCTAGTGCATCGCTGGTGCCTGAGATAGGTATAAAAACCTGTGTTACAGGACATCAGGTCCCCACTATTCACGTCATATTGTGGAATAAAACCATAATTCTATTGGCTTTATTTATAACAAAAGATAAAGGCACTGGTCTCGATGGGATCAATAGCAACTAATTTCTGTAGATTACAGAAACGACATTGCTCGCTAGTCCTCCTACACTCTCCTTATCGATTTCTTTAATTCTGAGTGTCGTGACCCTTTGGGATATTGGCGTTTGTTAAAGTACGCAATCGGTTTCAGTCTTGGGTTGTATGTGGGGCAGTGTACACCATGGTTTTGCGGGTGGAGTGGACTTCCCGAGTGTATGGGGGAAAAAAATGATATTCGTTGAGATGTAACTAGCCTAAGAAAGTGTTTGAAGCAGATGGGATAAATAATAGAAACAATGGGCGGCGATAGTCACTTTCCATCAGGAGACCCGTCTGCTCGTCTGCCCCCTCTAACATAAACAAAAAATGGGTAGTTACAAGTGTAAATTATTTAAGTTTTTACTGCATCCTGAATACGCCTTTACCCCCAATGTGTCACTATTTTCTGAACGCAAATATAGTAAGAAATAAATAGTCATATGATCTCATACTAATTTATTTATTTTTAAACATAAAATTTATCATAAGTGCTTAGATACCTAATTATCTTTAATTTATTTTAGGGAACATAGAGACGACAAACGATACTGCAAATGTTGCTTCAATATTTTCACCTGTAGTCTGGACATAAAAATACATCTAAGTCTGAAAATATATATTTAGGCTAGATAACCAGACTGCTAATAAATATACTTATATATTTCCTAATAAATACATATTATAGATAAATAACACCCAGACACAGAACAAACTAGACAACAGCATAACACCATCAACATAACAACAAATCGTCAGTAAGATGTTTGATGGTTGTGAGATTCCTTAGCGTATATATTTCACTGCTATAAACTAACAACTTTATTTCCTACTCACTGGTACCCGCGACCGCGTTCGCGTCGAATTAAAAAAGCTTTAGTATTGTAGTATGGATCGGTACGAATGCGGTCTATGAGACCTCGGGTTCGATTCCCGGAACGGGCAAAATTTAAAAAATAGCCCAGGATAAATAGCCTAAGTTTTTCCTTATATAGACAGCTACCTGGTAGTAAAATATTAACGAAATCGGTAAATCCGTTTTAAAGGTTACCCAGAACAAACAGACAGATAGACAGACAAAAAATATTTAATCTGGTTTTTAGGCATAGGTATCGTGCAAATAACCATGTAAGCATGAAAAAAACTTATTATTTTGACATTACAAACAGACACTTCAATTTCAAATTGACTAAATTCACTAAATTATTAAAATTACCTACACCTAGTAGGTGTGCAGTTATCTTAAACTAGCTGACTCGCGCAACTTCGTCTGCGTCTTTTAAAAGGATTTAATTTTCCCCGTTTTTGCATTATTCTTCATTGGTGCTGCGCTCCTTTTGCTCTTAGCGTGATGATATATAGCCTATAGCCTTCCTCGATAAATGGGCTATCTAACACTGAAAGAATTTTTCAAATCGGACCAGTAGTTCCTGAGATTAGCGCGTTCAAACAAACAAACAAACAAACAAACAAACAAACTCTTCAGCTTTATAATATTAGTATAGATATAGAATATGACTATATTCATATTAGACATTATCGATAGTAATTACTAATTTAAATTAGTGTAGATGGTGATAATGCAAAGCCTAAGAGCAATTCGGAAAACCGCACATTAATAATTTTCAAATTTTACAGCAATAAATAATTCATTTCACTGACTAGGAATCTAGTGGTTAGTGACCCTTACTGCTACGCCAGAGGTTGTGGGTTTGATTCCCCCCAGAACAAATCATTATTTGATGAGCACTCTCCTTTGTTCTGTGTATGTGTCTTGTGTAAGTGTGTACTTTATCTATTATATGATGTATTTAGAAATATGTTTATCAGCAGTCTGGTTACCATAGTAAGAGCTCTGCCTAGTTTGGGATCAGACATCCGTGTGAAATGTGTAGTTTTTTGTTTTTATTAATATGTGGGGCTCACACCACATATATACATGCATACATACATACATACATTCACACTTATTACCTATACCCATAATATTTATATTTAATATATTAAGCATACACAGACGTACTAACACGCGTGCAATAGGCGGGGCTTACGCCTCTAC